ATTACAAATCATGTAATGTATGGCATTCGATTAATAAAGACAATATTTATTTATTTATTTATTAACTCAAATAAACACAAAAACCCAAAAACTCAATAGAAATTTTCAAAAACCCTGGTATTTGCCAACCCTAGAATCAATAAATAAGTAAAATTCAAGAGTCTGAGTCTAGAATGAATAAATAATGAAAATTCCAAGGCCAGGAATAGAAAATAAGAAACATCAAAGAGCCTAGAGTCAAGAAATGAGAAAAATTCAAGAGCCTGGAATAGAAAAATAATAGAGATTCAAGACTATTGAATAAAATACATATAAAAATTTAAGAACAAGGCAAGAAATAGAAAATAACGGAAAATAAGGAAAAGGCAAAAGCCTGAAATCAAGGAAATAGGGAAAATTCTGAGGGGGAATCCATCTACCTAATTTTGTATACCTACCAAAAATTCTAAAAATCTGAAAATTGCTAATTTTGATGTTATTGTCCCCAAAAAAATTCTAAAAATTCTAAAAAATTCCAAAAATCCCTACAAATTGGGCAGGCTCTTGAGCATGCGCAATAGATAAAAATTCTAAATTATTTCTAAAAAATACTGAATAATTCTAGAAAATACTAAAAAATACTGATAACTCTAAAAAATTCTATCAGTTTGTAATGGAAATTCCAAGGTGATTTTCCCCTCGGGGGAATCCACCTACCTAATTTTGTACACCAAAAATTATAAAATTCTGAAAAATGCTAATTTTCATGTTATTGTGTCAAAAAATTCTAAAAATTCAAAAAAATTCCAAAAATCCCTACAGATTGCGTGGGCTCTTGAGCATGCGCATAGTGTTATAAAATTCTCGGTAATTTTCGAACGTTACCGAACTTTCGGGAATGTTTGAGAATTTTCGAGAATTTATGAGAACTTTGGAAAATGTTGCAAAAGAACCTAAAAATTCGGCTTTCTAATGTGTAGGGTTTGTAAAAATATCTATCTATTAATAATAAAGTTTCAATAAATTTCCCTATTTTTCTTTTCTCTGGTAGGGGTAGGTGAATTTTTCATAAATGTAGATATAACCTTTGTCTATACAGGGTGTCCCACGGTTGATGGCCTATTAGACGTTTATGGAGAACTAAAAAGCGGATCATTATGAAAATTTGGCAACCGGGATAAATGACCATGATCTAAACTTTAAAAATATTTTTGACCGTGCGGTGTTGCCGCTTCTACTCTAAACTAGTAGCAACATCGCTATTTTAAAAGGAACACCCTGCATGTGATTACATATTTAGATTCTACGTAAAATTCTGAGCAGATTTCATGTGATATACCCTATACCTAAGTTCAACTGTTTTGGAAATATTGACAGTTGAAAATTGACTTTTTGCAACTTTGACAGGCCGTAAAACCTGAACGGTTAATTTTAGAGGAAAACCGATTTTACATTCCTATCTTAGATTTTTATAAACTATCATTTGACACCAACTTTAAATTAAATCCATGATTAAAAAGTCCAGTTAAATTTAATCTCCGGTTAAATTCAAAGTTGGTGTCAAATGATAGTTTATGAAAATCTAAGATAGGAATGTAAAATCGGTTTTCCTCTAAAATTAACCGTTCAGGTTTTACGGCCTGTCAAAGTTGCAAAAAGTCAATTTTCAACTGTCAATATTTCCAAAACAGTTGAACTAAGGTATAGCACATGAAATCTGCTCAGAATTTTACGTAGAATCCGAATATGTAATCACATGCAGGGTGTTCCTTTTAAAATAGCGATGTTGCCACTAGTTTAGAGTAGAAGCGACAACACGGCATAAACAAAAATATTTTTAAAGTGTAGATTATGGTTGTTTATCCCGGTTGCCAAATTTTCAAAATGATCTGCTTTTTAGTTCTCCTTTAACGTCTAATACGCCATCCACCGTGGGACACCCTGTATATTATTCATTTATTATAAAGAAAATGATAATATTTATAAAACTAATACAAGTCGTGTTTCCTGTAAGTTGATGTAAAAAAAAAACAACGTAGATGTAGGTAGCAGTGGTAGCACCAAAAAATAAAACTCAAAAATCTTTAAATGCAAATACCTACATAAAATAACTACATTAAGTGTTGAGTCAAAACAAAAAATAATATAAAAAAATAAATTTAAAAATAAAAATAGGAACTCTAAAAAAAGGAACTTAAAAGACAAACTTTCTGTAGGTAATGGTAATAACACAAGTAGTTATAAAATAAAAAAATAATAATGAAAATAGGTATTCAGAAATCAGGGTCCATGTCCATTAATAGTCAAATCAAATTTTCAGCGAACTTTCGCTTAGAGAGGAGCGAACATTACCGTAAATTACTGTAATAGTGCGAACGTGCGCTCGGTAAAGTTCGCTTGTTACAACACTACATGCGCAATAGAAGAAAATTCTAAATTAATTCTAGAAAATACTGGGAAATACTAAAAAATGCTAAAAAATACTGTTAATTCTAAAAAATTCTATCAGTTTGTACACCAAAATTATAAGGTGGTTTCCCCCTTGGAAAATTCTGAGCTTAATTGATTCTGAGGAAAGTTCAAGAGCCTTGAATAAAAAAATAATGTAAATTCAACAGCATTGACTAGAAAACCTTAAACAGAAATTCAATAGCAATAGCCTTGGCAATAGCCAACTAGAAATAGAAAATAAAGAAAATCTAATAGCTTAAAATAAAAAAATAAGGGAAATTCAAAATTCAAAACCCTGGAAAAAAGAAACAATGGAAATTCAAGAGCCTTGAATAAAAAAATAATGAAAATTCAAGCTCATTGAATAAAATATAATAAAAGTTCAAGATCCAGGCCAGAAATAAGATATGAAGCAACTCTAATAGCAGAACATAAAGGCATAAATTCAAGAAGGTGAATTTTCCTTTACTTATAGCTTAAAGCTGGATTTATACAGCAAATAAAATAAAATAAGATAAAATAAGAAATAAGAAATGAGATACCCTTAAAGTGTTTATACAGAAAATAACAAATAAAATAAGAAATGCATTAGTTATGGATTTTTTATTTTATCTTATGTTATTTTATTTTATTTTATTTGCTGTATAAATCCAGCTTTAAAAAGAAGAATTTTCCATGAAGTGGTTTTTTCAAGGGTTTTTTTATTGAACAAATTTGGAACTTTTGTATAATGAGCTCCACACTTTCCTTTTTCTCCTCTAAAAATTTCACAATTTTCCCTTGGCTAGTTTCTCAGAAAAAAAAAATTGAATCTAACAGGGAAATAAGAAAAATTCAAAATTCAACAGCCTGTTAATAAAAAAATAGTGAGAATTCAAGAGTCCGGAATAAAAAAGTAATAGAAATTCAAGACCATTGAAAAAAATATATATATATATAAAAATTCAAGAGCCAGGCCTGAACTAGAAAATAAAGAAAAACTCATAGCATAAAATAAAGAAATACGGAAACCCAATTACCATACATATTATACAGGATGCTCATTTTAACACTTAGCACCCCCCTTTCCATTTAAAATTTAAAATTTTCCAGCGGGTGGTTCTGGGGACTGGGTGTTTGAATTTTGCCTCGAATTTCGCATAAAAACTCATGCCCCCTTTTTCAACTATTTTCCAACTACGAGATAATAGGGGCGGTGAGTTTCAAAATGAACACCCTGTATACAGCATTTGATCTACAACCGTGAGGCAACAAATTATATGGAAGAAGTTTAAAAAACTATGGAGAAAAAAAATTGCTTCTCTGGCTAGTCTGTCACCTGTGACAGTGGACGAGTAGGATTTAGGTGATAGGTAGGTAATTGAAGGTAAGTAATTGATACTATACTTATGTAGAGTGTGGGGTAATATGGTACTTACTGCACACAAAATCATGTGGTATACCTTAGTTACCACAAGGTTGTAGATGAAAGAAATACAATAAAAATTCAAGATCCAGGACAGAAATAGATGATGAGAAATATCCTACTTAACTTTATACAACAATTAATTATTTTATTCAAATTGACTGAAACTTACAAACTACGCTCTTTGGCGCTTTTATATACAAGGCCACTCAATCCAGAAATATTCTCAGATCTGGGGTGCGATTTTCGAAACCATTCGAATACATTTCGTACACGAAATTTGACTGACAGCAATGTAAATTAAATGGGGAGCAGTCAAATTTCGTGTACGAAATGTACCCGAATGGTTTCGAAAATCGCACCCCAGCAGGGGATTAAAAATAAGCACTTCTTCACAACATTTGATTAGTAAATAAGTGCAACTTTAATTTTCATAGTACAAACAAATAAATTTTGATCAATCTAGCAAACTATTTGTCTCATTTGAGTTCCGCAAACGTTTAATAACTTTTCCGCATAGGAATTTCAATGTAGGAATCTACCTATTTAATTGCATTTCCTAGGAATTTTCAGAGTAAACAAAATTTCCGCAACAAATGGAAAATCTGTTCTAGAGTGGTTTTTTGCTTTACGCAGGTGCTCTTGCCTTTAACAACACTTGTTCTAATTGCAAAAATTTCTAAGTTGTACTGAGAAGGACTAATTCACACAAAAAAAACAATCTGGCAACAGTGTTTTTCTCAGAAGAAAACTGCACTGCACTGGATCTTTCAAGGGCGCGGTAAAAAGAGACCGCACCACGTGGGAAGCCGTGCCGGCAGCTAAAAACGCATTCATTCCGTGAAATGACTCAGGCAGGAGGCAAAATTCTAACCTCAAAATAGTATCAATTTTCATTAAGAAAAATGAAAATTCTTACGTCTGTGTTTACGCTAAGTAGTTTTTTTTGGCACCTAGCCTGCGTAGGAGCTTATTTTTACCAAAATGATTACGATAACAACATTTTGAAAACGAAAATAAACCACCCACGACTTAAAAATAGACTCTAAAAAGGAATTTAACCTATTAGCTAAAGTAGAGTGCATTACTTATTACTTGACAATAATTATTTATGTAATAAAACCACAGTTGTATGTGCTCGAATTATTTGTTTTTGAAAACTTACTTTTTGTATTGTCCTTGTTTGATTGCTCCTGCTTAATCCATTTGAGTAAGAAAACCAAAATAATCACACCGAGTCCGACAAAAATCGTAATTAGAATTAAAAAATCGCTATTGTTTGCCTCTGCCATGATCGAACGATTTCGATTTTCGCGTAAATTGTGTTCTTTCGCGAGCCAGGCACGTGTTCAGCGCTCCTCAGCAAGCTCGAAAATTAAACTGGAGAGATGAGAGAGAACCGAGCGAGCACCGGCTGCACCGGAGCGAACGGTATACGGTGTAAACCTACTCGAAAGTTGCGCGCGAAATTTTTATTATTTGAAATAATTTTGATGTTTTTCATTCTAGGAGGTGTTATTAAATTGTATTTCTTTTCGAGAAAATTCATTCGATTTGTATCAAGGAGATTGATAAATGTGAAATGCCGATTTTCGACTGGAGCGATTCGCTCGATGTTGCGGGCTTTTCTTTTTTCAGCTCGCGCGTCGACGCTGTGAGCCTTCACCGACAACGTGGTTTCGGTTGGCCGATTATCGCTGACGGTGTTGTCGGATTTTTCAAAAAATCACCATGAATTTTTACTGAAAGAATTATCTGTGGCACGGCTATCTCAAAACAGAAAAAGAGAATAGGTATGACATACTTTGGTTTGGATATGACCCAATCGTATGAACCAAGATTCCTAAATTTAATAGGTTGTCTGGTAATGGAAAGCAAATGACGTCATCTGGGGTGCCTAATGGAGATTTCCATTATGTTTGGGCACCCCAAATGACGTCATAAAAGTTATCAGTCAGCCTACCTCTTTCAAACAAGCTTGGTCTGGTGAAGGTAAACAGATGACGACGTCATCAAGAGGACCTTATGGAGATTTGCATTATGTTTGGGAACCCCAGATGACGTCATAAAAGTTATTAGGTAAACCACCTCTTTCAAACAACCTTGGGTATGACCTAGGACCGAGTTTTTCAACTGCACTACACAAAATATAATCCTTTATGCTTTATGGAAATGTTGATCCAATTAACCCGATCACCAGTGTTCGATCAATGATCCCGTAAAAGCCTACTGTGTATGTAGTGCAAGATTACTGGAAAAAAAAAATTATGTGCAGCACCATAGAGAATGCACCATACACGTGGTAGAAGTGAAACTTCTTAAAAGCTATCCCCTCCCTCATACACATTTTAAACTTAGCGTATGACTCGTTAGAGTCGGGGTAAAGACAAAGGACCACGTAAAATGGAGACGCGCAATGCGCATCTGTAGTGACGACATAAGGGTATCGACGCTTGACTAATAATAGACAATCCTCTTTGCTTATAATTCTTGGTTTGTGTCAATCGTTTGTCGGCTGTGATTGTCATTGGCTGTCTTTCTCCGTCTCTACGTTATATCTTTCTTCTCTTTCCTGTAACGAAATTTGCCAAAACGTGACGCGTCTTTCAAATCACTCTCCATTCTCGTCCAAATAGGTATCAGACCGCCGCTTGAAAAGTTTGACCTCAAAAATAAAAAACAAAGAACAGAAGAAACAAGCAGAATAAACAAAATTGACATTTTTTGGAAATTTATAGAATTTGTTGGAATTTACTGGCATTTTTTGGAATCTTGCATACGGAACAGTTAGAGTGCTCGAAACAGATACAGTGCCCATGCTTGTACCTACCAATAATTCTAAAAAATTGAATTTTTTGAAAATTTTGTTGGAATAATGAATCGGGGTAAAAACGAAAAGAAACGCGTAACTGTGGTGACGTCACAAGGGTATCGGCGCTTCACAATAGTTGTATTCCTCTCACACCTAGGAGGAGCTCCGGAACAGCTCCTGGGCTTCACGCGCTTATTCCTTTCGAAAAGTGTTTGTTGCACCACGCATCTGTTTCCGGCAAATCGGGGGCGACTAAATACCGGAGCGAGTAGCTCGAGTGTTTCAAACTCTTGAAAGGAATACAACTTATAATAGTTTATGATCCTTATCCTTGGTTTGTGTCAATCGTTCGTCAGCTGTCATTGTCATTGGCTATCTTCCTCCGTCCCTATACGTTATATTTTTGTTTTCTCTCGTGTAACAAAATTTGCCAAAACTTGACGCGTCTTTCAAATCACTCTCCATGCTTGTTTGAATATCAGACAAAAAGCACAGGACACAAATGTATAAATAACGAAAATAATCACAAAACAGAATGATAGAATAACAAGAGCTTGGCGCGCATCTGTAGTGATGTCACAAGGGTATCGGCACTTGACAATAATAGGCAATTCTCTTTGCCCTTATAATCCTTGATTTGTGACCATTATTGACTGTTTTTCTCCGCCTATAATATCATTTTTGATATTATAATTATTTTAATATCTTACATAATGACGGTTCACAGATATAATCAAAAAAAATCACAGCACACAACTGTATTAATATCGAAAATCATCACAAAACCCAATTAAAATAGTATAACAAAAGCGAGACGCACATCTGTAGTGACGTCATAAGGGTATCGGAAGTTGTCAATAATAGGCAATTCTCTTTGCGCTTATAATCCTTGGTTTGAGTCAATCAGTAGCTATCTTTCTCCGTCTCTTTACGTTATATCTTTCTTCTCTCTCTCTAATGAAATTTTCCCGTGACGTGTTTTTCAAATCACTCTCCATTCTCATCCAAATATTTAAATAGGAAGTTCCACTCCAAAAAGAGTTCAAAAATTTTGCATGTGATTGACTTGAACCGAATTTTCGTGACGAATGTAGTTCATCTAAGGACGAAACTAGTTGGTCTTGTGACGTCATGCATGAGTTTAAACGCTGGCTAGACTGCATCCCAACTTCCGGCGAACAACGTTCAATATGACGTCATGAGTTTTTCACGAAAGGGTTTGTGTTCATGAAGCCATGGAAGTTGTTTGTCGCGAAAATTCGGTTCAATATTCACGTTTTGGATTAATTGATACAGTAAAAAGTGCTTGGAACATAAAGAGTCTATTTTTTCAAGACGAAAAATGAAAAACAAAGAGACATAGTAGGCCTCAAGGATATTACCCACTACTACTACAAGATTGCTCATCAGCATCAATTTTTGAATTCCATAAGGTCATATGGTGTCGAGAAAGACTTTTTAGACCTAATTTTTATATACAAAATCTTAAATGGATTGATAGATTCACCAACTATATTGCAAAAAATATCGTTTCCTCCTCAAGTCAATCTAAAGCCGCGTACAGACCGAATTTCCAACGGAAACTAACGCCAATGGCACATGTGCTGTCGTTGGCGTTAGAATGGGAAAGCAATTGAAAAGGATTTGAGAACATCGTTCACACCACTGTACACACCAAAGCCAACGCATTCCAACATAGTTCACGTGTGACGTTGGCTACCGTTGTAGATTCGGTCTGTACACGTTTTAAGACACCATGAACTCTTTTTTGTTGAATATCATAGGACAAATTATGGCCGAAATACTCCTACAAATAGATTATGTAGAATTGCTAATGAAATAGATTTTTTTCAACTTGAATTTAAGCATAGGATTCTTTAGATATATGTATTTTTTATTGTGTACCTGTACCTATTTGTACTTATTCAAAATGGTTAGTAAACCTCTACTTCCTTTACTTTATTTTACTTTTTACTTGCACCGTCGCCGACGTCATTAGCGGTGTCGTAAGCTGTTTGCGCCAGCGGTCGTAGATTAGAATATGAATTCACGATGAAAAATATTATTTAATTTTGATTAACCATAGCCATGTGTTCGTTTTTGTCATCTTTTTCGTCGATTTGCACCGAAATTTTGACAGGCACGTGATTTGTAAATTGAAGCTGTCTAATCCAGTCACGTGTCTGTCAAAATTTCGGAGCAAATCGACAAAAAAGATTACATGAACACGGCCATAATAGGCAAAGAGGAAGATGCAAACGAGATCTAAAGCCTAGTACTCATAACTGCGAAATTCGCATTTTTTTGACATTGCTTCGACAATTTGACGTTTGATACACGCATGAAACGTCAAATTGTCAACGCAATGTCAAAAAAATGCGAATTTCGCAGTTATGAGTACTAGGCTTAAAAAAGGATTCTTTAGAATGTTGATTATGTACTAAAACTCAAGGTTGTTTGAGGGAAGTAGGTTGCATAACTTTATGACGTCATCTGAAGTGCCTCAACATAATGTAAATCTCCATAAGGTACTCCAGATGCGTCATGAAGTTACCCTTTACTTTGGGAAACTTGACCAAAACCGAATATTTATGACTATATCATCACTGCTATTTTTTCATGGTGGGGGACTTCAGATTTGAACTACACGGGCCTTATGAAGCTTGGCTATCCTGTGTAGTGTGTAATATCCTCGGTATAGGCGATTAACCCGATCACTAGCTGATTGTTTTCCAATTTTCTTTAATTTGAATGATTGGAAAAAGACAAATTACATCAGCTGTTGATCGGGTTAATCAGATCGGCGTTTCCGAAAAGGCCTAAGCCGTTTTTTCGCGCACCAGTTTTGAAAAACTTTTTGCGAGAAAACACCTCTAATAGGGCTTACTTTTTTTTTTTATCTCTTCACTGTTAGGAAGTCTATCCTTGTTTAGCACGTGGGAACTGACAATGACCGTCATAATAATGGTTGATGATACATCAATGATACGATTGGAAAACACCTTAGAGGTGTTTTCTCGCGTCTTAAATGTTTCAAAAACTTTTTCAAAATTGGTTTAAAACAGTTTCACATGACGTCATAACTTCTCGGCGCGCGAAAATGGTTTGAAAACGTGGATTAGATTGTATTTTGAAACGTTTTGAACCAATTTTGATGTGACGTCATGGGTTCATCGTGAGAATATACTGTTTCAAATCTTTTTTGAACCAGTTTCAAAAAAGTGAAAGCGAGAAAAAAGCTTAGGCCTTTTTGAAAACGCCGATCTGATTAACCTGATCACCAGCTGATGTAATTTGTCTTTTTCCAATTATTCGCCAAGTCCTACTAAGTAGGGTTTTTTTTCATATGCACCGTTAGGAAGTCGTATCCTTGTTTAGCACATGGAAACTGACAATGACAGTCATACAGTGTGCGCCATAAAGTTGGGTACATATGGGAAAATTATTAATTATTCCTTTTTTCAAAAAACTTTTAATGGGGATCGTTAGGGCATGTTCGATAACCAAAAAATCGATTATGACACATGTCATGCGATTATCGGTTTGGCGGGAATTTTGAAAAAAGTTGATATTGATGTCGAAAAACGGGCAAATTTGGCAAGATATCAAAAAATTTTATAAGAAAAAGTTGTTCAGAATCCAAAAAGAACTCCACATGCCAATTTTGAAGCAAATCAGTTTAGGGAAAAATGAGAAAAACTAAAACCTAACCTAAATCTAAAAAAATGAGAATTATCTTAATTATTGGCCTTTTAATTTATTTTTTTATG